GTATCAAGTAACGGGACGAACAAGTCGTGCGTCTGATAGTAAGCTACACGCCTGTCCATAACAGTTGCAGTGCCACTCAGCGGTTTAAATCGCAAAGATCTGATGGGTACTGTCATTGCGCTCGTCACCCTGAGACATAAGTGGACAAGTCCCATATTCCTGTAATTTCACCAGCTTAGGTAAGGGACTTTCACTAGGTAAGGGACCTATCAAAACCGGAACACAGTAATGCTGACATTACTGCTTGGCGGCAGAAATAGGTAAGAACTAAAACGTAAATAGGACTCTTATAATTAATAAAAATATCTAGCTTTTTGTTTCCTTAAGCTCTATCAGAAGACTATTTTGTCTTCAAGAACGTATTATTTTAATCTTTTATTGTAGTTAGTTAAGTCGTGAACTACAATCAGACATCGTTATGCAAATCGTCTTTAAACTGATTATCAGTATGTTCCTATTTAGTACTAAAATGTAGTTTCGAACAGTCTATTATAGTTCATAAATATGTATATATATATAATTAAATATATATTTATATATATATTTATTTAATTTGACATATGTTTTTTTATCTTCCACTTAATTCTTGAATACATTATTTCCTTTAATATTAATTGAAATGACAAGTCATTAATAAAAGTTCTTAGGTTTTCGCGATTGTTACACATAGGAAATGAAACTATTTTATATTTCTATTTTATTTTATATTTCTTTTTTCAAACAAACCGACGTTTCGGGCCCGTTACAGGTCCCATGGTCACGATTGACTGAGGTAGTACAGTCTTCAACCAGTTATGTCTAATATTGATGCAAACCACCTTATTTTATCACAATAGTTACAATAGTTATTAATTAAATACCTTATTTTTAATTTTACAAAGAAAACATTCCAATTCACGCTACATTAAATTTTACGAATTATTTTATTGAATGAATTTTTATTAAGTTCAATTTATTATTAATTATTAATAGATATTAGAATAAACTAAAACATATTAATTAGTAATATAAATAACCTCAATTTTGTGATGAAAATTTTATTTCTTCCAACATAAGTTAGGTATGTCATTAAAATATTCCTTATATTTATATGACAGGGAATTTATCCACTGTTCTAGTCATATATAACACATTCCATATAATTATACAGAATAAGGTTTTTTTGCGACAAATTGGATTTTTAAATTATTTTTTGACCTAGTGTTTTGAAAAGATTTTTATTGCATAATACGCTCACTATTCCCTATAACTTTTAGAAAGGTATTGTAATACTGTCAAAAAAAATGGCTTAGAAACATCGCGTTTTGTAGACAATCATAAAAGTTTCATAGGAGTGAGTATTTTTCTACAAGATTAAGTACATAAAGCAAGTAAAAATAATCTTTTCGTATTCTAAAGTTTTTCTATAGATAAAGCTATAGACAAAATGCCCCCAACAGTGTTTTGAAAAAGCTTTAAATTTATCGCCATTTTAATTTTTAAAGAATGACTATGAAGTAGCCGAGAAAAATTTCTTTTCTTTTTAAAAAGTAAATCTAAGTTGAAATTAGCTTGAAGAAGCCCATAACTTCTTGGAAATGGTTTGTTTTGTATATTTAAGCTTTGTTTAATTATTTAAAACCGAAAATCGATAACTGTACTTTCATGAAGTTTATATTTTATACATATATATTTAAAATTTAGCGAGCGCATTACTTTTATGACAGGTTTACATCACTTTTCACAATGTATTTAAAGTCGCACATCAATTCGCGCTTTCTAACCGATTCAACATTGCGCGAAAAAGTCTGAAATATTATATCCAATTTCGCCATGTTGCAATTTCGATAGTTTATATTTTGTAAGCCATTAAACTTGAAATCTATTAGTATTGAGAGAATTGCGTCTTACGTTTGTAACGCTTTAGTTACTTTGGTTTTAAAATAGTATTACTAAGAAAACTATCATAGACTATAAATTATCTAAAAACTGTCTACAAGACTAAATAAAAACTGTCGACATTCTATAAATGGTCTTGTAGCATTCTAGAAGGGTTACTTGAGTTAAAAAGATAAGAATCACTCTTAAGACTACCCAGGTAGTTTCTCAAAGCACTCTTGTGATCTACTAATAAAGTTGTGTCCACTTTTACTTTAAATTATCTAGAAACCTTCTTCGAGATATCTTGAGGGAATTTGAACTCTTAAAATATTCAATCGAATTAAATTCTATTAGATATCTTGTAGTATATATCTAGATATGGGTGTGCTGCTTGGGTTATGATCTAAACTTAATGAAATATCGCAAAAAAGACCAGAAAATATTTTAAACCGCCATACTGTAAAGTAGTGATTTAGATTTTCGATAGTGTACGTGGGGACAGTCGATATATCATTGTAACGGAAATCTTAAAATTTTAGAATTGGCGTCGCAATACGTCTGCGCAAGGTTCTACATATTTCTTTTTTAGTCTTTTGTTCTGAACGATGGAAAGGGTAATACAATTTAATCACCCATTAATTTAGTCACCCAGAGATGAACTAAGACATCTAATAGACAGAAAATTTATATTTACAACTCTTTTACAAAAACAAGACCTTCGTCGAATTACATCTGTTTGTCAAGTTTTATTGAAATCGATTACAGGAAAGTGCGCGAAACCGATTTCGTCCCCTAATTTGACGCCCAATACTGGAGTACCCTCTTGCCATTCAAAAAAAGGATCATCAAAATCGGTTCACGAATGCCGTAGTATTCGCGTCACATACATATAACAAATACTGTCGAATTGAGAACCTCCTCCTTTTTTAATGAAGTCTGTTAAATAAGTGTATTATGAATATATTATTAAAGCCATGAAACAAACTAAAAACTAATCACAAGATAATTTGACTTATATAATTTTGACACTTTAATGTTGCGCCCAACGCAACATAAGTGTTGTTTTGTTTCGCTTATAAACGGCTCCCCCGAGAGTATAAGGGCACACGGTATTAATTAACAAAAAATTGGATTAAAATGCCTTAAATTAAAAAGAATATATAGTAATAACGTAACTGGATGATATACTTGCTGTAAGTACGATTCTCCATCACCGTCCGGATCTTCTGAAGACCGCGACGCATGTAGGGATGCCAAACGTGCCGCTAAGAAAGCTGTAGCCAGAGCCAGACGGGACCACTTGCAGCCGTTGTACGACAAGTTGGAAGCGTCTGAGGGGCAGAAGTTTATCTTTAAGCTGGCACGTTCGAGGGTCTTAGCGGCACAAGATATTTCCAAGTGTCGCTGCATTAAAGACCCTCATGGCAACCTTATATGCGAGGTCGACGCGGTGAAGGAGAGATGGCGCTCATATTTCCACGAGCTGCTGAATCAGCAGCACAGAGAGGTACAGCCACCAGTCCTCCCTCCGAATCAGGGACTAGTGCGACCGGTAACGCCTGAGGAAGTCCACTTAGCTCTTCGTCGCATGAAGAATCGGAAAGCTGTTGGAGCCGATGGGGTTCCCATCGAGGCCTGGAAGGCAATGGGTCCCCGTGGTGTGGGACCGTTATTGTGGGATCCTTACCGGCCTCTTTAATCGCGTGCTCCTCACTGGTAAAATCCCTAACCAATGGAGACTGAGTATTATCACTCCAGTCTTCAAAGGGAAAGGATCGGTGCAGGAGTGTGGCGATTATCGGGGCATAAAGGTCATGTCCCACATCATGAAGCTCTTCGAGCGTATAATAGACTCTCGGATCCGACAGGAGCGTGCTGTCTCGGAGGGTCAATATGGGTTTCGGCCTGGTCTTGGGAACATGGATCCTGTCTTTGCGCCTCTACATTTCATGTGTCTTGACATGCAGAAGGCCTTCGACTGTATCCCCCGTGTAATGATCTGGTGGGCACTGAGATCCAAAGGGGTACCAGAAACTTATATTGACATCATCCGAGACATGTACCGCGATTCTGATTCCATGGTTAGGACTACTGTTGGGGACACTAAACCATTCCCTGTCACAGTCGGAGTTCACCAGGGCTCAGTTCTCAGTCCCTATCTGTTCGACGTGATATTAGACGAGATTTCAAGCTCCATCCGAGACACGCATGAGCAACCACCGTGGATGCTTATGTACGCTGACGATATCGCGCTGGCGGATGCGGATAGAGAGAGACTGGTACGACGAGTGAATGTGTGGAAGGAGTCGCTTGAGAACGGCGGTCTGAGACTAAATGTGGCGAAGACTGAGTACATGGTTTGCAACGCTACTGATCCCCTACCCGTACGCATAGGCGAAGATGCGGTCGAGCCTACGGGCCAGTTTAAATACTTGGGATCTGTACTTAGCGCGTCCGGAGACATCGACTGCGACGTCAGACCCGAATCGCAGCCGCTTGGGCAAAGTGGCGTGAGGTGACTGGTGTCATTTGTGACCCCAAGATTTTAGTTAAGCTGAAAGGACAGGTCTATAAATCCATCATTAGGCCTGTCCTTTTATATCCCAGTGAAACGTGGCCCGTAGTTGAGCGTCATAAGCAGGGGTTGCGTGTCACGGAAATGAAGATGCTGCGCTGGATGTGTGGAGTTTCACGGAAAGAACGTGTCGGAAACTCCCGCATCCGCGGCAGCCTTCACGTCCGTGACATTGCAGATAAACTGCAAGAAAGCCTGTACGGCCACATCTTACGGAAACCGGCATGATACGTGGGAAACAAATGTCTGGCTATGCCACCTCCGCCGGGCCCCGGTAGAAGGGGCAGACCCAAGAAGTGCTGGCTTGACGTCGCCAAGGGTGATATGCGTGCCAATGGTCTCACCACTAAGGATGCCGAAGACCGTGCAAAGTGGAGGAGAAAAAGTAGTAAAGCGGACCCCGGGCTCCGCAGCAACACTGCTGAGGACGCAACCGGGACAACGCTCAGATGAGAGAGAGAGAGTTTTGTTAAATTTTGTCAAATGATTTTGTTAGCCATAACATTTTTGTTTACTTGTAGGCAAGAATATGTTCTTCGTATCAATAATGAATGTTCTAACCCAGGCTTCACGATGTACACCACGTGCGTAATCTGGTTGGCGTTCGTGCCGCTGTACTTCGGCACTGCGTCACACGTGCCTCTGCGCGTCACCAGCATGGCCGTCACCATCTCGCTCAGCGCCAGTGTTACGCTCGTCTGTCTTTTTTCTCCGAAGGTATGAAGCGTTCTACTTTTTACTACATTATAATCTATCCCATAGTCAACGCATGGACTCAGATGGACCTCACACAAAGCACTGAGTCCAATATCGTACCAACAAATAGTTGTGTCACCTATCACGTATGTATGTTGAGCCGAAACCCACTCTAGAATTGATTGGTAGATTCATTTGCTTTTTTTCGTAGACGACTGCTTATTAATTACGGTAGCAAAATTACTTCGTTAACATTGAATTTGTTTGAAAATATTATAAAATGAACCTGAGTCTACTTAAAATGTTCCCCGTTGTCGCAGCTGTACATAATCCTGATCAGGCCCGAGCGAAACGTGCGCCAAAGCATCATGCCAGTGCGCTACAGTCGAAAGCCGCCACCGCCTGCGCTACTGCGCTCCACCCACAACAGTAACCTTTCTTTTTCTTAAAAATATTTTTATCTAAATTAAAATTTGCGAGTTGGCTTTCATAGTGCGCTCAATTACAATTTAATGAATTATAATCAAGTAGGTAGCAATTAACTAATTCTCAAATCCATGAGATAGCAATAGTGCTATTTGCAATATATGTTTACAAGTGCATTGACACCTTATAATAATATTATAAATAATGTCTAATTTACATTATAATTGCTCATGATGTTAAATGCGTGGGATGTTAGCTTTTCAAATGCACTTCTAAATCTAACCAGAGGACCAGTTGTAAAGAAAGATATTATTTCAGGGCCAACAAGTGCTGACAAAGGAACCCAAACAGAACCAGCTGAATTCAACAAACTGAACGGACAAACGTGTCTACTGAACAAAGAACAAAACAATCTCGAGGAAAAGCCAGTTGACAAAGGTAACATTAAAATCGAAAATAAAACTATTACGATAAAAGAAAGTCACAATGAAACCAATATCGACAGTTTAAAAGACAAACTTAATAACATTAAACCTCCAAGTTACGAAGTCATAGTTGATAAAAATAACAAAGTAACTGCAACTAGTGATAAAGCAGATACTTTATAGCAACGACATTCATCCAAGTCTTTGAACGGAGAATATAAACCAAGTAAACAGTTCAGCAGTAGTTTCAAGAAAAAAACATGTTCGTGTAAAATAAAGGAAAGAGAACCAGTTATTGTTTAAATACTGTATCAAATATAGACAAAAAACTGTGTGCGAGCTGAAAGACGTTAAAAACTGATTACCACTGTGGGCGGGTATTCTGGTGAAGGTGTAGGCAACATTGATTTTGGTAAACTTTTTCAGTATCCCGGCAGCAGTCAAAATCTATAATCGAACAAGCATTTATTTTTATCATACGAATTATGACGGTCTTTGCATTTTTGCTGCAAGAAATTAGAATTTAAGAATTTTTTTACGGAAAATCAAGTATGAATTTCTTGACTTATATCACCAAGGCTTAGGCGTGAAACACTATCTTCTATGTAAAATATTTAACTGATTATATTCTATGTAACTATATATAATATGAAGTAATAATATGGTACACTTAAGATATCACAAAATTATTGTATAAATATAATATGTGTTTATAATATAAATCATGTAAATAATTATACATATTAATCTACTATTAACATTATTTTCCACGTTTCAGCAAATGAAATCTTTTGTAAATAAGTAAATAATGTACACTTTGTAAAATATATGCGAATGAGACAAATAGTGATGTTCATTGTACATAAAATATATCCAATAATTTAAAGTTAATACATAAAATTGTATAAAGCTAGTTCATATCATAGTATATACAGAATGCTACATATATGGGGCGCAGCATTGAGCCAGGCCAGTCACGACTAACTACATAGGTAGATACGTTTAAGCTAAGTTCGCTCTAAGTACAATTTCACTATATAATGTTAGCTTCATAATCTAGTTAAATAATATTGCAATGCATATTGTACATCGTTTAACCTATCTTTGATCAATATTATTATACTCGTAGTCGTTGCTGTCTTCTGCTCGCCCTGTATATGTTTGAGAATAATAAATAACACGTGAATATTATATTTATTCAAATAAACGGTTTGGATGTTAACAATGGTTTTACTTCCTCCTGATTCCCGGTTCCTTGAATTTTTGTTAAGTGTGGATTTATTATGTCCCCATATTATTAATAAGCAGCGACTCACCCAAGGTCAAAACGGTGCTGATGAATTATTCCGTTTTACTCTGAGGAGGTCATTTTTAAAGTATCAATTACAAAAAATCCTGGAAAATCCAACAGATAGCTCCTTCCGTGTAAGCGTTTCAAGCAATAATTACGCGGTTATTTAAAACGACATTTAGATATGAACCCCTAAAAACGTCTTAAAAAGTTGCAAAATAAACATGTCAACCGAATCCAGCAATGGTAGAGATTTGCTCTTACTCTTCAATTTATCAAAGAAAATGTAAGACGTGATAGTGTGAGGTGGAAATGGTGTCGCACGACAGAAAAAGAATACAGAATACGCTTTGGTTTCCTCTAATCCCTTAAGCGAACGAGCTAATACTAAGTTTTTTTATAAGAATCACAAATTAAGATACATGCATAAAGACATGTTAGTACATACTTATTTCATTTCATTTCATTTATTGCACCATATAAAGTTTACAAAGTTCTTAAAATATGAACATTTTAGTCCTTAATATATGAGACCCTGCAAGGGCATGGCAAAAAAGGCCACATGGCACTTACTTTATATACAATGAAAACAAATATAAATGTAAAGATAAATTACCGGTAATAATAAGTTACCGGTAATAATAATAAGTTACCGGTAATAATAAT